CATCATCGTCATCATCATCATCATCATCGTCATCATCATTATCGCCATAATCATAATCATCGTCGTGGTGGTGGTGGTGAGGGCCCATGAAGAGTCTATTCGAAGTGGTCTGCTGGCCTGTGCTGGTCTCTCTCGAGTAGCGACTGCAGCACGGGGGCTCCACGTGTTTCCTCCCCTAAGAAGACTTCGTCATACTGTGAACTACAGCGTTGAACAATAATAAATTATTAAATAATAATAATCAATTACTTTTTATTTTGCCAAGCCAAAACACGATGAGGAAATAATTCTAGATTTGAAGCTTTCGTGACTGCAAGGATTCATATTCTTAGGTGTTTTCGGTAAAGTCACGTAGGTAAAACATTAAAATTAATAAAAGATGAGGAAATAATGAATCTTACCACACCACATCAATAACACTGGGGCCTTGAAATAAAAAAAGATACGTAATAATCGACGTTTCGGGCAATAGTCCACCTTCGTAGTGAGGCTCGTGTTACCGGATATTGAGCTCGGTGTACTAATTTGATCCCATGAAGGTAATGTGTCCGCAACGCTGCATATTCATTTCCTTTTAAGACCACGCAGCGATGTCAGCTGCAGCAGTACCATCAAATACTTAGACCAAAACCCTCGTGATCTTAATAATAACAACACTTCGTAGCCCCTTCGGTCAATCTACTTACGGATGAAGGCCGTCCCTTCATTATGGGAGCAGTTTAATGACCGTACTTCACCACGCCGGTCAGTGCGGATTGGTGAAGGAGTGGGGTGAGTGTTCGTGAACGGTTATGGATGTCACGGCCCGCTGATGTGAGCCGTCGCTGGGAATTCAACTCCCTCACTCGGCTCACCAGACCGACCAAAATACAAAACCGGTTGAGAAGTAAAATGATGCGGCGATGCTGCCGCTGCTGTGTTGGTAGTTGGCGCTCACTCACGGCTCGCAGCAAACTCAACTCACGCATCGATCCACGAACACTCGGCGCCGATGTTAGAAGCGGTTGGGAATCGAACTCAGGTGTGCCAGGTTCTTCACGGAGTGGAACTCCCTCTGTGTTGTGATGTTAGCAGTGGCAGGGAATCGATCTCAGGTGTGCCAGGTTCTTCACGGAGTGGAACTCCCTCTGCGTTGTGATGTTAGCAGTGGCAGGGAATCGATCTCAGGTGTGCCAGGTTCTTCACGGAGTGGAACTCGCTCTGCGTTGTGATGTTAGCAGTGGCAGGGAATAGAACTCAGGTGTGCCAGGTTCTTCACGGAGTGGAACTCCCCTCTGCGTTGTGATGTTAGCAGTGGCAGGGAATCGAACTCAGATGTGCCAGGTTCTTCACGGAGTGTAGCTCCCTCTGTGTTGTGATGTTAGCAGTGGTTGGGAATCGATCTCAGGTGTGCCAGGTTCTTCACTGTGTGTAACCCCCTCTGTGTTGTGATGTTAGCAGTGGCAGGGAATCGATCTCAGGTGTGCCAGGTTCTTCACTGTGTGTAACTCCCTCTGTGTTGTGATGTTAGCAGTGGCAGGGAATCGATCTCAGGTGTGCCAGGTTCTTCACGGAGTGGAACTCACTCTGCGTTGTGATGTTAGCAGTGGCAGGGAATCGAACTCAGGTGTACCAGGTTCTTCACGGGGTGGAACTCCCCTCTGTGTTGTGATGTTAGCAGTGGCAGGGAATCGAACTCAGGTGTGCCAGGGTCTTCACGGAGTGGAACTCCCTCTATGTTGTGATGTTAGCGGTGGCAGGGAATCGAACTCAGGTGTGCCAGGTTCTTCACGGAGTGGAACTCCCCTCTGTGTTGTGATGTTAGCGGTGGCAGGGAATCGATCTCAGGTGTGCCAGGTTCTTCACGGAGTGGAACTCCCTCTGCGTTGTGATGTTAGCAGTGGCAGGGAATCGAACTCAGGTGTGCCAGGTTCTTCACTGTGTGGAACTCCCTCTGTGTTGTGATGTTAGCAGTGGCAGGGAATCGAACTCAGGTGTGCCAGGTTCTTCACGGAGTGGAACTCCCTCTGTGTTGTGATGTTAGCAGTGGCAGGGAATCGAACTCAGGTGTGCCAGGTTCTTCACGGAGTGGAACTCCCTCTGCGTTGTGATGTTAGCAGTGGCAGGGAAGCGAACTCAGGTGTGCCAGGTTCTTCACTGTGTAGAACTCCCTCTGTGTTGTGATGTTAGCAGTGGCAGGGAATCGAACTCAGGTATGCCAGGTTCTTCACGGTGTGGAACTCCCTCTGCGTTGTGATGTTAGCAGTGGCAGGGAATCGAACTCAGATGTGCCAGGTTCTTCACGGAGTGGAACTCCCTCTGTGTTGTGATGTTAGCAGTGGCAGGGAATCGAACTCAGGTATGCCAGGTTCTTCACTGTGTGTAACCCCCTCTGTGTTGTGATGTTAGCAGTGGTTGGGAATCGAACTCAGGTGTGCCAGGTTCTTCACGGAGTGGAACTCACTCTGCGTTGTGATGTTAGCAGTGGCAGGGAATCGATCTCAGGTGTGCCAGGTTCTTCACGGAGTGGAACTCACTCTGCGTTGTGATGTTAGCAGTGGTTGGGAATCGAACTCAGGTGTGCCAGGTTCTTCACTGTGTGTAACTCCCTCTGTGTTGTGATGTTAGCAGTGGCAGGGAATCGATCTCAGGTGTGCCAGGTTCTTCACGGAGTGGAACTCACTCTGCGTTGTGATGTTAGCAGTGGTTGGGAATCGAACACAGGTGTGCCAGGTTCTTCACTGTGTGTAACCCCCTCTGTGTTGTGATGTTAGCAGTGGCAGGGAATCGATCTCAGGTGTGCCAGGTTCTTCAGGGGGTGGAATTCCTTCTGTGTTGTGATGTTAGCAGTGGCAGGGAATCGAACTCAGGTGTGCCAGGGTCTTCACGGTGTGGAACTCCTTCTGTGTTGTGTTGTTAGCAGTGGCAGGGAATCGAACTCAGGTGTGCCAGGTTCTTCACGGGGTGGAACTCCTTCTGTGTTGTGATGTTAGCAGTGGCAGGGAATCGAACTCAGGTGTGCCAGGGTCTTCACGGTGTGGAACTCCTTCTGTGTTGTGATGTTAGCAGTGGCAGGGAATCGAAATCAGGTGTACCAGGATCTTCACGGTGTGGAACTCCTTCTGTGTTGTGATGTTAGCAGTGGCAGGGAATCGAACTCAGGTGTGTCAGGTTCTTCACTGAGTGGAACTCCCCTCTGTGTTGTGATGTTAGCAGTGGCAGGGAATCGAACTCAGGTGTGCCAGGTTCTTCACGGAGTGGAACTCACTCTGTGTTGTGATGTTAGCAGTGGCAGGGAATCGATCTCAGGTGTGCCAGGTTCTTCACGGAGTGGAACTCCCTCTGTGTTGTGATGTTAGCAGTGGCAGGGAATCGATCTCAGGTGTGCCAGGTTCTTCAGGGAGTGGAACTCACTCTGCGTTGTGATGTTAGCAGTGGTTGGGAATCGAACTCAGGTGTGCCAGGTTCTTCACTGTGTGTAACTCCCTCTGTGTTGTGATGTTAGCAGTGGCAGGGAATCGATCTCAGGTGTGCCAGGTTCTTCACGGAGTGGAACTCACTCTGCGTTGTGATGTTAGCAGTGGTTGGGAATCGAACTCAGGTGTGCCAGGTTCTTCACTGTGTGTAACCCCCTCTGTGTTGTGATGTTAGCAGTGGCAGGGAATCGATCTCAGGTGTGCCAGGTTCTTCAGGGGGTGGAATTCCTTCTGTGTTGTGATGTTAGCAGTGGCAGGGAATCGAACTCAGGTGTGCCAGGGTCTTCACGGTGTGGAACTCCTTCTGTGTTGTGTTGTTAGCAGTGGCAGGGAATCGAACTCAGGTGTGCCAGGTTCTTCACGGGGTGGAACTCCTTCTGTGTTGTGATGTTAGCAGTGGCAGGGAATCGAACTCAGGTGTGCCAGGGTCTTCACGGTGTGGAACTCCTTCTGTGTTGTGATGTTAGCAGTGGCAGGGAATCGAAATCAGGTGTGCCAGGGCCTTCACGGTGTGGAACTCCTTCTGTGTTGTGATGTTAGCAGTGGCAGGGAATCGAACTCAGGTGTGTCAGGTTCTTCACTGAGTGGAACTCCCCTCTGTGTTGTGATGTTAGCAGTGGCAGGGAATCGAACTCAGGTGTGCCAGGTTCTTCACGGAGTGGAACTCACTCTGTGTTGTGATGTTAGCAGTGGCAGGGAATCGATCTCAGGTGTGCGAGGTTCTTCACGGAGTGGAACTCCCTCTGTGTTGTGATGTTAGCAGTGGCAGGGAATCGATCTCAGGTGTGCCAGGTTCTTCAGGGAGTGGAACTCCCTCTGTGTTGTGATGTTAGCGGTGGTTGGGAATCGAACTCAGCTGTTCGGATTCGCAGTGCGTTAACCACTGCACAATCGTCCCCCTCACCTCCCCCCTTTGCGCCCCCCCCCCAACTCCTTACCCTCACACCACCCATGCCCCGCCCCCCCTCCCCAAATATTAAATATAGAGGTCGAAAATTCGGAATGCTTTACACTTTGGTTGGATTAGCAGCTAAGGGTTCACAAGTAAATAACAGCGGGAAATATAGCGCCGGTCAGAGGTTAATAAATCACTTTGTTCCACGTTATATACGATGCACAAGAACACACACTGCAAATGCACACACACACATACAGAGACAAAGATCACCCGTATAGCCTTAGCAGACTGTAGGAGCAAGTGCTGTTAGGGAACTACCATCAGCCAGCCGGGTTGCTCACTATCAGAGGAGAGCGGCTCTTAATCGGAAGGCCTCGAGTTCAACTCCTGCTTGGGTTTATTGACTCGTCCCATCATCACTCCCGGGGTCGATAAATCGAGCACCACTTGGTGGCAGTTTGCGGGGAAATCAACGGCGGTTGTCCTGTGGGTCGACTCACCCCTCCCACCTCGGCCAGCGCCATAGGAATGTGGAATTACCACCACTGGCTCAGGGCTGGAGACGACAGATGAGCATCCGATGCTCATTTTGATCGCACGACATTCGCGTCGTCGAGCCACACAGCTTCTCTCTGTGTCCTTCGCAGCCACGGGGCGAGCGCGGCTGGCGATGGAGACTAGCAGCGGAGCGAGCCTGACCCAACCCAGAGGCCGTCGCCTCCTCCTCGTCCTCCTCCTGCCAGGAGCGACCTCCACCCAGCGCCGCTGACACCCGCGTTGTCCTCAACCCACCACCACACTCCACGGGTTCGACTCCACCACTCTCTTCGCCCTCGCATGGCTACGCTTTGGACGCACATCCGCGCGTGGAACAGGAGGCGCGCCTCGCTGGGGTGGCAGCAGCGGCAGCAGCCCCAACTCGCGCTGCTGTGCGTCTCTCACTGCCTGCTGCTGCTGCTGATGATGATGCTGATGCTGGTGCTCGGGACACCGTCGAGTCAAAGCCACGCCGCAGACGCCGCAGCTGCCCCCGTCACCGCTGTGAAGGTCGTGGCCGGGAAAATGTTCACGCTGAGGAATTGCCCCGGAGCAGAGACCGGAGCGACGGCATCTCCCTCGCCTGTGTGCCGTGCGGTAAGGGCGGGGCCCGGCGGGGGGGGGGGTATTTGTGTGTGTGTGTTGAGCTTCTTCTTGGTTCTTTCGGTAAAGTCACGTAGAATGGAAATAATACAATAATTAAAATAAAAGATAATAAAATAATTCTTACGACGTTTTGGCCACAACACAAGCAGCCGTCCTCAGGTGAAGAACAGGTCTTTCAAGAGACAGAGTCTGAATGTTTTCTCGACAGACCTGTTCTTCACCTGTCTGTCGAGAAGACAGAGTCTGAATGTCTTCTCGACAGACCTGTTCTTCACCTGAGGACGGCTCCTTGCGTTGTGGCCGAAACGTCGTGAGAATTATTTTATTATGTTTTATTTTTATTATTTTATTATTTCCCTTCTACGTGACTTTACCGAAAGAACCAATAAGATGAATCCCTGCAGTCACGAAAGCTTTAAATCGAAATGTGTTGAGCTTCTTTCGCACCGTACGTAGCCGACCGTGCTTGTCGGAGGTGCGGGGGAAAGGCAACAAACGATGTATGTTGAACCTCCTTCGCACCGTACGTAGCCAACCGTGATAATCGGAGGTGCGGGAGTGAGTGAGATGCTGGGTGGGTGGACGAGTGAGGTTCTGAATGGGTAAGCAAGCTGCTGGGGTGGGTGGGTGAGTGGTTGAGCGAGTGTGTTGCTGTGTTCGGTGAGCTGCTGGGAGCAAGAATGAGCTGATTTGTGAGTGGGGGATTGGTTTGGTAGGTGGGTTTCTGAGTGTGTTTTTGAGCTGGTGAGTGAGTGCATTGATGGGCGAGTGAGCTGGTGGGTGATTGAGTTTCTAGACGAGTGAGTTGGTGGGTGAGTGAGCTGGTGGGTGATTGAGTTTCTAGATGAGTGAGTTGGTGGGTGATTGAGTTTGTAGATGAGTGAGTTGGTGGTGAGTGAGCTGGTGGGTGATTGAGTTTCTAGATGAGTGAGTTGGTGGGTGATTGAGTTTCTAGATGAGTGAGTTGGTGGGTGAGTGAGCTGGTGGGTGATTGAGTTTCTAGATGAGTGAGCTGGTGGGTGAGTGAGCTGGTGGGTGATTGAGTTTCTATATGAGTGAGTTTGTGGGTGAGTGAGCTGGTGGGTGATTGAGTTTCTAAATGAGTGAGTTGGTGGGTGAGTGAGCTGGTGGGTGATTGAGTTTCTAGTTGAGTGAGTTGGTGGGTGAGCGAGCTGGTGGGTGATTGAGTTTCTAGATGAGTGAGTTGGTGGGTGATTGAGTTTCTAGATGAGTGAGTTGGTGGTGAGTGAGCTGGTGGGTGATTGAGTTTCTAGATGAGTGAGTTGGTGGGTGATTGAGTTTCTAGATGAGTGAGTTGGTGGGTGAGTGAGCTGGTGGGTGATTGAGTTTCTAGATGAGTGAGCTGGTGGGTGAGTGAGCTGGTGGGTGATTGAGTTTCTATATGAGTGAGTTTGTGGGTGAGTGAGCTGGTGGGTGATTGAGTTTCTAAATGAGTGAGTTGGTGGGTGAGTGAGCTGGTGGGTGATTGAGTTTCTAGTTGAGTGAGTTGGTGGGTGAGCGAGCTGGTGGGTGATTGAGTTTCTAGATGAGTGAGTTGGTGGGTGAGGGAGCTGGTGGGTGATTGAGTTTCTAGCTGAGTGAGTTGGTGGATGAGAGAGCTGGTGGGTGATTGCGTTTCTAGATGAGTGAGCTGGTGGGTGAGTGAGCTGGTGGGTGATTGAGTTTCTAGATGAGTGAGCTGGTGGGTGAGTGAGGTGGTGGGTGATTGAGTTTCTAGATGAGTGAGTTGGTGGGTGAGGGAGCTGGTGGATGATTGAGTTTCTAGACGAGTGAGTTGGTGGGTGAGTGAGCTGGTGGGTGATTGAGTTTCTAGATGAGTGAGTTGGTGGGTGAGTGAGCTGGTGGGTGATTGAATTTCTAGATGAGTGAGCTGGTGGGTGAGTAAGCTGGTGGGTGATTGAGTTTCTAGATGAGTGAATTGGTGGGTGAGTCAGCTGGTGGGTGATTGAGTTTCTAGATGAGTGAGTTGGTGGGTGAGTGAGCTGGTGGGTGATTGAGTTTAAAGGTGAGTGAGCTGGTGGGTGAGTGAGCTGGTGGGTGATTGAGTTTCTAGATGAGTGAGTTGGTGGGTGAGTGAGCTGGTTGGTGATTGAATTTCTAGATGAGTGAGCTGGTGGGTGAGTGAGCCTGTGGGTGATTGAGTTTCTAGATGAGTGAATTGGTGGGTGAGTGAGCTGGTGGGTGATTGAGTTTCTAGATGAGTGAGTTGGTGGGTGAGTGAGCTGGTGGGTGATTGAGTTTCAAGGTGAGTGAGCTGGTGGGTGAGTGAGCTGGTGGGTGATTGAGTTTCCAGATGAGTGAGTTGGTGGGTGAGCGAGCTGGCGGGTCGGCAAAGTGGTGAGAAGTTGTGAGCATTCTCATGCTCCTGTTTAGAGTGTTCTCCCCCCCCCCCCCCCCCCACTTGATAGTTTTCACCCACGCGATCAGAATTGGACGTTTATCAATTCAGCGTTTGTTGAACACAGTTAAAGTCACATCTGGTGCGAGCAAAGATTGAGAGATAAAAATAAATTTAAAAAAAACCACAACATCTCAAATCAGAAACTGAATCTCAGCAACACAGCTGGAGTCAAAACACGCGCTGTCTTATTACCCCCAGAGTTACATACAGAGACACGGTCACACACATGCACATAAGCTAACACAGCAAAGTGCACGAACATCCATAGGCACACACACACACACATCCACAAAGGCAAAGATCCCCCGAATAGCTGTCACAGACTGTTGGGGCAAGTGCTGCTCGGCACAGCACGCAAAGGGGTGGACGGCCATCATCTCGCCTGGCCGCCTTTGTCTCCCCATTACTGATGTTTACTCGTAGCACCTGGAACTCATTTAAGGCTGAGTCAACCTAGGGGGGGCTCAAGACCAGTTCAAATATTTGCCACTGGACAGACCCCGGTGTTCTGAGTTTATTGACCGTGATGACCGCAAGCTTGCATCGCCACCCACGCACGCATACGCGCACTGAAATAAAAACACCCAAAGCCAAAGATCCCCTGTATAGCCTTTGACAGATTGTTGGGGCAAGTGCTGTAAGCGAGCACCTATGAAGGCTGGAACGGCACACAAGTTGGTGGGTGTCCAGCACCACCTCCGGTCGCCTTTGTCTCCCCAGTGACGATGTTAACACACCACACCGGGTACTCGTTTCAAGCTGAGTCGACCCAGGGTAGACCCAGGACTGGTTCAGATAGCCGTCACCGGTGTTGACCGTGAGCGAAATCAGAAATATTTGTTCATACCGATGTCCAGCAGGGGCGGGTTCTTAGCGCCGCACGCTAACCGCTGCGCCACCGCCACTGGTCCAACACCAATGGACACTAGGCTCTAAGGAAAGCTGTCTCGGGTGTGGACTAATCAACTTCAAGGGCAGTGCATATCATTACCATTATCAGAGTTGTTTCATTTTGTTTGCATTTTGACTGCTTGTGTTGCGGTTATTGCAAACATGATGCCTTGTATAAAGGTGTCAGTTTTGTACCAGTTAAAAGGGTAAAAACCTACTACTATATTTTGCCACTGGTAAAGGAGATGTCTCATAGTGTATGCGGGGACTGAGCGCACACCGTAGCCATCATCGCCCCACCACCGCTGCGGAACAAATGTACCACCCCACGTCACTCTTGCAAAATGATACGAGAGTATGCACGGTCTCTGGAGTTCTCACCTTGGTTGAACCAAGGGGGTACGCACACTCAAAACTTGAAGTACGGTACACAGAGGGGAGCTCGAAATCTCTGAGAGCAGGTGGTGAATGAAATGACGACAGCCCACCGAGGACATGCCACTGGGACGTGACATCTTACGAACAAAAGGACACCTCGATGCAATTAAACTGAACAATTATTTTTCCTGTTGTTTTTTCTTATTTTCACCAACTAATGCTACCGAGTTTAACACGTGTAGGCTTTCGCCACCAATATTATTCATAATCAACGTTTTTGGGTTTTTATATCGCGTTATTTATAAATGTGTCGTAACCCTCCACCACCCGACACGGCCAATCAGTAAAAGAGTGTCACGTTGACAAAAGACAAATAGTTCACTGCTTTAGCCCACCGGAATGTTGAAGCCAGAATTGCCCGATGATGCTGGATGAATTACCAGCGAAACGTCGTACTCAAATTGTAAATGTTGTGGTTTCACTCTTCAACACACCGGTGGGCTAAAGCAGCGAACTATTTGTCTTTTGTCAACGTGACACTTTTTTACTGATTGGCCGTGTCGGGTGGTGGAGGGTTACGACACATTTATAAATAACGCGATCTAAACCCAAAAACGTTGATTATGAATAATGCTACCGAGTGAGCTCTCTGTATATGTGGCTCTTTGCCAGAAGCGATCTGGCAATCGCAAATAATAGCTCGACAAAGCGGATAAGGGGCCGTCCATAAATGACGTCACACACCTAGGGGGGGTGGGGTCAGACATTTGTGACGATGTGTGACGAGGGGGGGGGGGGTGTTGAGAAATGTGACGTCACGTAAATTGCGCAAAATGAGATAAATACAGACAACACGTTCTACTTAATTAAATAGACTTTTCAATAACTGTTTTCTTCTACAACATCAGAGTGCAGCGCCACATTAAATACGCACTACAATGACAATTGTTTAAAGCGATTTGAAGCATGTTTTATTTTTTTGGGGGGGCAGAGCTTTGTGACGTCATATTTGAGGGGGGGGTCTGACTTTTTGTGACGCCGTGTGACGAAGGGGGGGGGGGGTCAAAAATCGTCCAAAATCGCGTGACGTCATTTATGGACGGCCCCTTATCATCATCACGTGTGAATTTATAGCAGCAGGTAAATACTCGAAACGCTTGATGTCGATTCTGAATGTGGATTGTCAAAAACCGGAGGAGCCGGAGAAAAATGCACTCCACCACGGGGAGAGAGAACATGCAAACTCAAATAAGTATAACCCGTAAAAAGTTTTTCACTCTAAATCCTTTATATGCGTGGC